GGCTTTTTATATGAAAATAATTTTACTTAACTGGTAAAGACCATATAAGACAGAAAATACTGAAAATGGCCCAAAATGCCCAAAGCGAAATAAATCAAGCACTCAACATTAAGCAAGCAAGAATGCCCGAACTGACAAGACTTATTTTACTTCAAATTCAGTTCCAGGAATGTCACAGTCTTCAGTTTGATAACATCAAGACATATTCAAGCACGGAGGAAAATTTTCTAGCCAGATTTATTACTTTGGTGATTTTCAATGGAGTCTACACAACGTGCAGAAATATTCTAATCAGGATGCTGTCTGACTGTGGCCGAATTGTTCAAGAAAAAAATTTGATGTGGAAAAAATGCTGATAATTACAAAACAAGGGTTTGACTCGCTAATTCAAACAGACTTCTGAAATCTCAGTCTAAAAGAAAGGAGAGAATAAGCAAACTGAGGTAAGAAGAAAGTCTGAAAGGATGGGCATCCCTGAGGTCTAGTCCAAGGAGAATTCTTAGAGGGAATTGTTTCTGCCAGTCACACAGCAAACTTCAATAAGAGTGTAATAAACCATTGCATGGGAGTGAGTGACAGTGTAATGACGTCAAGACAGGATCCTGCAAGCCCGTAGGCACAGCAGGCAAGATTCTCATAATTGTCTTCGGCCAAGACTACAATTTTCCACTTCAGCATGGGAATTCAGTCAAGAATTTTTTTCTCTTGTTTCTCCCTGGAAGGAGTATTAGCACAAGGGATAAAGGGACGGGGCACTAGAAGGCAGAATTCTCATGATTTGTCTGTTCTGATGGATTCTATTCCACTGTGGGACATGGGGGATGATTCAAGGCTAAAATAAAATAGATAAGATGAAGAGACATTGAAGTAAAATAGCTAGTCAGGAAAGGTAGACTCTACAGGAAATGACTGAGACTATGAGAACTGGTCGGATAATTAATCTCGCAAGGATGAAAATATAATAGACCTGATTGAATTATTCAAGTATAGAGTTTTACTCCCTCAGGAATTTAACCTTATTTTAAAAAAAAGTTCAGCATTATGATTGTAATGTTTATTAGTTTATACGCAGGATAAACTGAGGGAAAGGGATTCTTGCATGGATAAGGAAATGAAACAACTTGCTGGAATACCCTCCAGAAATAATTGCATTTCCAGACAGTGAGGAATGACTGAAAACAAATTACAGGAAGCATCAATTCTAAATCAACAAAAAGAATTTTGAAAAAACAAAAATTGACTGACAGTCCTTTTTACATCTGCCTTTTTATTTCTATATTCAGACAAAGCCTCAAACTACATCTATTTGAGTTGGCTTAACCAAACACTACCTTCAAAAAAAAATGAGCCAACCTTTTTGTTGGCAGTTATTCGTGTTTGAAAAATCAATGTCCCTGGGCTATGCAAACAAATGGCAGAAATCTGGAGTAGGGGGAAATTGGCCAATGCATTGACGTGATGCTGTCATTGGGTAAATATACTCGCCCACTGAACAATGAGCCATCATACTTGGTGAAGAGTCTACAGTTTGCGATGAGATCATTCTGCTCCGTAAGTCCTCGTTGTTGTACCATGGAGGCAGTCAGCTGGGGCACACTTATGTACCCAGTTTTGTTAATTTTACTGGATAGAACTGTTGTTTCGACCTGCATGCCTTTGAAGAAGAGATTACATGTACACAGTACTTTCTATTTGAAAAAACTTTAGGACAATTTGGAATATCGCCTAACAAACTGTTCAATTTAATACTGTATTTCAGAAATGAAAAGGGCATTTTAATTTAAGAAAGTTACATGTCCTGTTACCTCACAGAAATCAACAGTTATTTTGTCAAGTGTGTTGGTTAACATCATGCGCAGACATAAAGTGACCTCAATCACGGCACCTCGTTTTCTAGCTCATTACATTGAATTCTCAGTCACAATAGCCAGGATGCAGGGTTTTGTCACTTCTGTTATCCGGTCTTTCTGCTTCAAGAATTCCATTGTGCTGTTCCAGAGTTTCACTTTGAAGGATCAGTAGTTTCCCTTTGAGGGATCAGTGGATGTGGTCGCAAGATCTAGCTGTATCAGTCAGGATAATCTGGGGTTTGCTTGCTAATTGCAATGACTGTTGACATTCAATCTCAGCTCAAGTGGTTATGTGGTAATGTGAGGATTAACATACAGTTATAGTCACCACAGTCAAGAGTTTGGTGAAATTCAGAAATTGAATTGAGAAACCCGACTTTCAGCAGCTGAAACAAAAAGAGAACTTTTTGGAAGCTTACTCCTGCAAATCCTGTATCAAGCTGCACATTAATGAGGGTTGTTACCCAATATCTGAGATTTAATTTAAAGAAAAACAATTTCCATCTGATAAGCATACAATATGTCTGCAAGGTTAAACCCTGCAGTTGCATTGGATTATTTCAGTTGCCACAGCAACAAAACCCTCAGATTCTGCACATTGCATGCATTCATTTTAATTCCGGTCGCATCAAATTGGTTTTTCATGGTACATTAAATCCAAGATTCAACTCTCTAGAACTGCTCAATTTGACTCTTCATTTCTTCTTGGTACAATTAATTACCTTTCACTCCAGTAAACAAATACTGACCTGCTAAATCATATCCTCTTCAAACCAAGGATGTTTTTGAAATGTATTTTTGTTATAAGAAGAACTTCTTTCTAAGTTACATGAAGATCAATTTCTAGCCTAGCCACGTCCATATCAACAACCATATGTAACCATTATTTACTTAAACTGAAATGAATAAATTCCTGTTTTGGTTGGTTACACTACCAAGGTTTACAGGACAACAGAGAAATTACATTTTCACTTTCTCTCTTTCTGAAACTTCAGCCAGGCCTATCAATTTCTGGGTCCTTTATCATCTAGCCGCCTCTATTCTACAGACTCTGAACAAACACGTATTATTTCAAGCCAGGACAGCTCGAAATAAATGAGCTCTGGATTCTCATTTCGTTTAGCGGAAGTTTATTTTGTGGCAGCGGCTCTAGGAGGTGAGAGGGAGGGAAAGGCAATACATCACGTAGACTGTTAAGTAAATTGATCACGTTGGAATAAATTGATGCGGATTGGAAACTGGGAGAGTCGGCAAAGCGTTGTCAGCAAAGCGTTGTCAGCTAAGACGTTGTCAACTAAAATAAAGTTAAATAAAAAATAATAAATAAATGCTTTTAAAGAACACTATTTTTGAGTGGACATACCTTTTAAAAACAACCTGGGTACAGGAATGTCTCAAACTCGGCGGTCTGAATTCACAGTAAATGCAAACATTGATTTTTGTCAACAGTTTGTCCCCAGCCCCTTTTCAAAACTGTCCTAGAAATTTTAATAATCATACTGCGAATGCAATGTTTGGATAGACCAATTTGTCAAAGAAAACAGGTACTTGATTCTATTTTAAATTTGGATCGAACATATCTAAACTAGATTTTTTTTTGTAAAATATGCCAACACCAATGTTGTTGGTACAATGAAAACTTCTTTATTTTAATGAAGAAAACTAAACACTACACAAGTACAGACATTACAAGATACAGGTACTTGTTTTTGACCCACATTTCAAAAAGACTTTGAACTAAATGTTTATTTAAAAGTGCACAAGCATGACAAGTGCCCTATTTTATGACATTTATGTTTATTCTCATTCATACGGCAGTGCAGATTAAGCCAGGCACTTGACAAATCCAATAGAAGTTCTGCTTCCACACATGTAGCATATGTACATCTTAACCAGTATCACTATGTATACAGCTACATCATTGCCATATTTCTCTACTGTCACCTCCTAAAATATGCATTATGATTTTGACCCCATCTTTTTCCTTCCAGTATAACTGAAGTTCATGTTGACAGAATCAACACGGCACCTGTGCCACTGTCTTCTTATTGTGTGTGCTTTTAGATAACAGGTTCTGCCTGATATGACGTGTGTTGAGCCACCAGCCTCTGGCGTTATTACAAATGTACAATATACACGTATCCAAACTACTCTAAAAGAAATATACAGATCATCTTACTACAGCTGGTCATAATTCTTTGATAAGAAAAAGAGAATTTACATTTTCTTTTCCAGAAAAAAAGCAGGACACTACTAGCAAAAATGAAATAACAAAAATCACAGAAAGCCTGATTAAACATGAGAAGACTGGTAACAAAATAATTAAACAAAGACAGTTTTACAATTATTGTGACGGGAAACCCTCCCATTACCAACTTTTAACCAAGCAAGCTACACATACAAAAGGCAGTCAATACCTTGGTATGAACCAATTTCTATCAAATTCAGTTAATTGCAATGTCTGGTTTAAAACTGGATAGACATCACACTTCGTTCAAATTCGCTCAGCATTCATAACAATAGAAAAATAAAAAATCTGCCAAATGTGTGGGAAAAAGATAATAACTCCAAAACAGAACTGCCCTTGGTTGCAGTTTGTTAGCTTACGCATGAATGGATTAAAGGGAAAATACAACATTTGCAAACATCAAAAAATAAAACTACCAAATCGTTTTGAAATACCTTACTGGACTGTTAGTGAATGACAGTGTAAAGCATCCTGTAAAATCATGGCACCTGGTATACTGTCATTTTCAAGAAAAGTGGTATTTTTGTATCAATTTCCAACGCTGATCGGCCGGTCAGCGTTGGAAAAAACTGGCTTTTTTTCAAATACTGGCCCCAATTGACCATCGCACTTGTTTGCAATCGATTACAAACCTATGAACGGGTACAAGCCAGCTAGACTGGTTCCCTGACCTTACAATTCCCCAATGTATGTAAACTGCTCTGTTTCTTCTTATATGGAGTCAGGGAGCCAGACTACAGGAAAATGATTGTTTTTCTTGGTTTTTATAGCATTTTCGAACCCTAAACCTCAAAAAAGTCAGTGTAACTATATTTGCTATATATTTCCAACCCCCCAATTCCATCCATTTCTGAAAATTACAGCAAAAGCAAATGATGTATATTCCCTTTAAAAAAAAACCACCCACAGTTTGGACTACAATGCTGACTGTGACTGTCCAGGCCTGTGGGCGTTCTGTCCTTCAGACATGGATGGAATTAGATTTCAACTTGAAATTTCTGACCGGAACAACCAACCTCAGGCACACTTGAATCTTCGCTAATAGCTGTGTTTATCTGAATGCAAGCAAGATAAAACTTGACACTGTTTGAACAACTTGAGCACAGCAAACAAACAAGACCAGCAATTAAGTTGAATTAAATGTTTACTAATAGCCACAGCAGTTGCAGCAGTGATAACAGAAATATATTTGATTTATGTGGCTGGAACAACAGTTTTGATACAATTAACCTCGCAAAGATAAAACTAGTACAGATTCTATCAACATTTTCCTCTCATTTCAAATTTTAACTGAACAGTATAATGTCAAAATTGAAATTGGAACATTGTACAGTATTGGTGATGAATCATTTTTTAAACCCAGTTTTGTGAATTGTAATTACAACAACCATTTAATGAATCAATTTTGTGAGTTAGGAACAGCCTTTTTGCCACTCAAATTGCCATTACAAAAATAATTAACAGAATTATGACATAAACATAAAATGTAAAAACACAATAAAGATATTGATCGTTACAACATAATATCCTGCACTGAATTTTTTTTAATTTGGAGATTTGAAGAAACTCAAGGCAAGAAATCAGAACTGATTGAATTTCCAATTCCAGCGCCTACCCAGCAGTTGCAAGAAAACAAATATTCGCTTTGGACGGCCGCTGGGAAATTTCACGGGACCAAATAAAGAATGTTCAGGTATGGATTTTTGCTCGGCAGTGCAGATTGCAGGCTGATATAATGCAGCCGGAATCCGATAGACAAAAATTACAATTTAGATAGCAATATATGCAGATGGGTTTACGGCACAGCGACGAGCGGGGATTCACTCTCCCGCGTAAAATGTCATCGCTGTCACCTCTTTCGGCAGGCCATATTGATTTTTCTTTTCTGAAATAAAGAAAAACATCTCCACGGGCAAAATTGGCCGTTTGGAATAACAAGCGGCTGTAGAGGAACCCGACCTACAATGCACAGGGTGTTAGTTGGACCGCTGGCCGGGTGGATAGTCATGATGGCCTGACTACTGTAGCAATTGGAATGTGGATTTAAGCTTCAGCTTGTGACACATACACGTAGCCATCTCAATGAAGAAACAAATATATCAGGTACAGTTTGCTTTTAATGTCTTCACACTTTAAAATGCTCAAAAAAAATTTGAGTACCGGTAGTTAAGAATAAAAAGATCTGCATTTTAAAAAAATGCAGTACAAAATATTTGGACAGTTTTTTGTCACCAATCCAAATATTCCTAATACAAACTATTATTATTAAAATAAATTACAAATCCAGGAGAAAAATGAATTCAATTGAGACGTTAAAGTTTCGTTCTGTTAAGGAAGGTTCATCCCTTCAAGGCGAGGAGTCATCAGCCCTTGCCTGACTTTCCTTACTGATGCAATCGGAGACAACTGCATCATTCACTTGGTTTCTTGGCAACAAAGTCTCCTCTCTCCTATCCTATGGGAATTGCATGCTGGGATTCCTACGCTATTAACGACAACCCCCTTTACTCTTTCCATCTAGAACCCTCTTGTGTGTTCAGCTTCTTAAGTTTCAGGATGCGACAAAAGGCAACCGGAGAAAGGAAGAAGGAATGTTCAAATTTGAATTGACAGGACTAGATGGGTGCTGCTATTATAGAAGACTAGACACTCCGGGCACAGAGTACGAGTAAATAAGAACTGTAAAGGAATGAACCCTTGTTGGAAAACAAGGAATAAAGGAGTGGTTTTGGCAAAGGTTCAAAGTGATTTGTGTCTTTTCGTTTTCTTTTTAGGTTATGCACATATCACAGGTGAAAAAATATTTAGACTGAAACCTTCACTGAAGGCTATTGTTTTTCTTTCAATAAAATTTGTAAAAAGCATAGTTAAGTTTGATTTTAAAACGTGTATTCATTTAGAAAATCAACTGACGACTGAATCTCTCAAATCAATGTAAAGTGAAAAAAACAACCAGAACAAATGCACAAAAGGTGAAAAAGATACACGAATGATTTACAGTGGCATTAATTGTAAGGACAATGGCTCCATGCGTTCAGGAAATGAAAATGTGTGAGAATCGTCTCCCTACACATGTATTTTTGTTACTTGACTTAAACAGCTGATGTAATTATGCTGATTGGGTAATTGTGGCATGGCCTCATGGGATTGATTCCCAGAGGCACCAACTGTTCATTAAAGTGAGGATACAGGAAGTTGCAGTAGGCCTGCGTACAATGTCACGTTTTTTGTGGTTCCTAATTACAATCAATGTTGCCAATGACTTCCAAATTTCAGAAATCAACACAGAACAAAAAGGCTTGATAACACATTAACATTAACAAAGTTATTATTAACAAACAATGGAAAAGTGGAAAAACACATTTAGCCTAAACTTAAAAATTTTCAGAATTGTTGATTGACTGGTTTTGACTCACTGCTCTCAATGTAACTTTGTAAGTTATATTCTATCTTTAAAAAAATCTATCACCATAAAAAGTGTAAACTTACTTAAATTTAGTCTACATTTGTAGTATTAGAGTCAATATAAACCTGCACATGTAAACTTTCACACAAAAATTGGCCCGATGGCAATGAATTGCTTAGTGTTTCATCCTGGTTAAAATGATAACTAATAGGAAGATCATCCTCTGGCTGATATCCCACTGGAATTAGTTTTGTGATAATAAAGTCACAGAAGTTTGATAAGGAAATAACGTCCAGTGGGAACATGGCTTAGCAATGAAAGAAATTAAGCCACAAGATCTCTGCTTATCCACTCTTCATTTCAAGAGAAGTAGAAAGGATTTCCCAATAAATGGCAATTTTAGTATTAAATTTAAAGGTTCACTATCCTGGTGATACATTGGATTAGCTTTTGACCCCCCCCCCTTGAAAACAAGGACCTGGAGACTGGAGTCAAGGGAATGATCATAAATTAGCGAGAATCGACTAACAGCAATGAATTTGAACCTCCAAGAGTCTCTAACATGGGTGTCTGCTTCAAGAAGTTTTCCTTTAAATGTTTTCATTGGACAGGTGTTCATTCATTTGGAGTGGAAATGTATGTATGAAGCTTGATTACGTACAATTTCTACAATTTTTTTTAGAAGCCGAGTACAGAGCATTTAGTAATAAGAATGAACAATTTTCAACTCTATTAATAATAATAATAAAAATAATCATTTGGGAGGCTAATCATCCTTACTCGCAGCTTGTATGTTGAATTGCGAAGGACGCGGCTACAACGTTTGATTAATTAATCAAATGGAATTTTCACCAAAAGACCAATGTTCAATTGTCCACACGTACCCAAAACTCAGTTCTTATAAAAATTAACCCAACTACCAGTAGATTTGAAGTCCATAATGGTTAACTCAATATTCAGAATTGAGACATCCACAATCATGGAGGTAAACGCATTCTAGATCAGTTCCGGTGATGCTTATAATACTTGTTTCCCTGCTGGACTGACCTCTCGTGTCTCAACCTTGGTCAGTACAAAGACCCCACTATAGCCCCAAGCAATGCCCACCACTGACCATTCATAACATTCAGAATGACCACTAGACATTAACAACATGCAAGTGACATAACAATGAATCTAGAAATCAATGTTGGCTGTCACTGTGCCAAGGCGCTAATGATCAAAGAAAGTCAGACTTGCCGACGTGATAAAACCTTTCTTCCAAATTTTGCACTTTCTTTTTGTTTGCAGTACCTGTATCAGGGGAATTTAGGGGTGCTAATTCGATAATCTCACAACAATGGTTGGGAATTTGGGAAACTAATACGTGTTGAATATTGAATTCTTTTCAAGGTATTTTCCAAATAAGTCACAAAAAAAAAGGGAAAACATAGTGTGATATGTTCCTGACTTTACCAGCATACAGATGTTTGAGTGGTTTTAACCAAGGCCAGCTGTTACATTGATTTCTAAGATAATGCTGTATGTTTACTGGAGAGGAAGTAACAACTTATTATTTTATCTGCTCTGTGATAAGTTTCAAGGTAACTTCCTACTGAAACTAAACCACAATGGCTATTACCTAAACTTATGCTGCTGTAAAGTTTAGCAAGGTAACTTGGAAAAAAAAAACACTGCCAAATGTCAACCTTTGTGGACAATTAAGCAATGTTTACTTTCACTTCATAATGTATAATTTATAAGTTGTATAGTTTTTATATGAACAAGTTCAAGCAGGAAATAACCCCACACGGATATGTAACGTCAAGTGAAAATGAAACTATTTTAAAAATAAAAATATTTTTAAATCCAGCAATTACATGCACCGTACTTGAACTTGCACTGAGCAGAAACTACGTAATTGCATCAATATGAGGAAAATACAAGTACAAAAAAACTCTCAATTTCCACTATTTCTTCAGCCAGACATGAATACAAGTAAAAAAATATTAAAAATAACTACAAGCAATGTTTTCTGATGACACTATGGACAAATAAGTTGCGGGTCCCAACTTTTTCTTGAAAGTTTCCTTGATATTCAAATTCAATAATATCCAACAACAAACCAAAGGGACATCAATCAATAACAAATCCCTAAAAACCATTTTGTTGAATTTTCTACATTAAGGATGGCTAAGAATAAGAGGGAAATAAAAAAAGAACTTACCTCTGGGTTCCAGAGTGAAGTGACAGTGGGTGTGGTAGCCTGTGGTTTGGACTTGGTTCTCCAAATCTTCTTTGGCATGAACTTGCTACTCGGCGAGCTACTCTGCCGACCTTTTTGCATAACTGTAGGAGAAGAAGGTGGAGAGAAAGTGTCATTGAAACCCCCTTCATCACTACTAGTATGATCAGGACTGCTAGGCACGCCTGAAAGCGATTGCTCCGAACTGCTCGTTGACTTGCGTTCTCGTGGACTTGAAGGTCCTGATGAGGATGAACGACTACCAGAAAGAACACTGGATGCAAGTTTCTGGAAATAGTTGATCCTACGTTTGGTAGCCGGTGATGGCGCTGCTTTAGTAGCACTGATAACTTGCAGCGTGTCGCTTCCACTTGGAGGCTGTAGACTATTTTGGGAGTCGCCGCCATTTGCACTCTGATAGCCAAAATCAAATGATTTGGCCGTGCGTAGCGGAGGCCTGCCTAGATTGTTGTTAGTTATTTTGTCTTGAAGAGCTTGTACACTACTTGCAGAGGAATCAAACGTTTCCTGACGTTGCAATCGACGGGGTTCAGGAAACCGGTCCGTTTCATCCTCTCGATCAAGACTGCGAGACTCACGGAGAAATTTATGGGGTCCAGTTGGTGAGGAATCTCCAGACAAACTCACAACTGGCTTGGGTTTGGGTCGTTGCAATAGCTTACTTGTGCTAGAACTTGTACACACGGTATAGCCAATCTTTTTGGAGCCAGGGCCGATCAGGTCAAATTTAAACACTTGGTCTGTCTTAGGGCTCATGTCAGGAGAATTGTAAAAACTTGAGCTCTGTGAATCTGAGGACCTGCTTAATTTCTTAGCAGTTTTCGACATGTTGGGGAGACTACTGCCCACATCACCCATGTAGAATGACAGACTCGAATCCTCTCCCTTGCCTGTCTTAGAGGTCAAAGGTCGGTGATCCCGTCCACTGTCCATACTAGACAGGGAGCTGGTGACTAGGACGTCTCGGTTATGACCAGCGACACTCATTATGATCACTTGATGAAATTTACAGTGAAGGAAACAAGCAAAGTTTCATGAGTGCAAGTACAAAATGTCTTCAACTACAGCTTAAAAGCAAAGCATCCTATAGCAAAAGGTATTTATAAGATTTGCTGACACTACGGTAAAAAAGTTGGTTCATTTTAACAATGCCAATGGCCTTACACAGCAGGGGTTTTCCACCAGAAAAGACTTGGCAGAGGACGTTACAAAATCTCCTCACATCTGGTGCTGAATAATGGGATTAAAACTGCCAAAAAGCCGCTTGCCTTCAGGACAAAAAAAGTGTCCGAACAATTAACGGCTAGAAATCGACTACGACACTTGTCAGTGACTACATCAACTCCCACCCAGGCCCAACAGGAACTACATGACTAAGCATCTATTGCGACTGTGAGATCCCAAAACACCAGCAAAAATGAACACTTAGCCGGTAAGATTTCAACAATCCTGACCCAGCAGTTTCCTTTATATACTGGAGGTGCAGTTTATGTCTTGACGACCCCAAGGAAAGACTGTGAAAATTCCGATGGTCCGGTTGGCCGGTTCAGTTGTTGAGCGGTTGTGACCAGCGCGCCGATTGACGGCAGGCAGGATAGGACAAGACGAAAAAGCCAGCTCCGGGTCCTCGGAAAATGACGGAGAAAAGTATCCACCCAAAATTCATTCCATCTTTCCGCACAGGTCTCACTCTTATATACACGAATTCATCAAAATCTAACCAAATACGGACGAATGTAGAGGAATACTCAAGTCACGACGAAGTGTACAAAAAGCTGAGAAATCTTGAAATCTGCACAACATTCCAGCAGACGACGCCAAACTACAAAGTTTGCATCGCGAGTTGACAAACGAAGTATTTACCACATGGTTTTTATTATCTTTTTTGACAACTGTGGACGATCCCATTAGTAATAGGTAATGACATATTAAGATGTTTCATCGTGGAATAAGAAAATCAATCCACAACTACATAATCTACGTATAAAACTAACTATATTTACGTATCATTTCTAAAAATGGTCATGCTGAGGTATTTGTATGACGTTTTTTTCCTTTCCAGGGATTTGAACGTATGCACCTCTCAGAAAGTCAAAACAATCACCCCTATAGTATAATGGAAGTATTATCATGAAGCGCAATAATGCGATTGAGGGCGTACTTCATGAAAATAAATGATTTTTTTGACCGGTTTTACAAAAACTCAACGAGAGGGGGCGCTAAAGCGATTAGCTGGACACCATTCGCCATCGGCGAAATAGGATGAGAGATTTACGTGGGAAAACATGTTGAAGACAGTAAACTGCATGCTAACTTTTGGTGAATTTTGAAGTCATTTTAAGAAAAAATTGTTACATTTGATATTTCTGTATTTTTATTCCTTCTTTCTTTTTCAAGAAACAGTTGTCGACATCGATTTTTCTACTTTTTTGGTCACAACTTAATAATTATTGTCTCTGCTTTAGTAGTTTGTGCTTACATCGAGTAGGCTGAATTCTCCCTTTGAAATAATTCCTGCTAATCACTTCTTTTGCAAACAAAGCACATTCTCCATCACATGATAATGATATCGAGGTAAGCCCAATATGACGGACTCTAAATTAAGCAAACAACAAAGAGAAAAAGATTGTCTACACAAACATCACTTCATAACGATGTGATTTTTTTCACATAAAGATATCATATCTCAAACGCCGATAAATCACTCCTTGTACTTGATATTTACATGAATCTTGAGCGACGGTAAAATATAGTCTACTTCGATCAGAAAATGTGACTCAATTTGCACATCAACATTGTACAGAAAGACCGTAGAGGGCGCTATTCAATTCTTTGTGCTGAACTGAGTCGGATAAGTCGGTCAAGCAAAACATTTCTTTTTCTCAGTTTGAATTCCGACGCAGTCTCGGAACAATAAATTACTTATCATTGAAAATAAAAACCAATAAAAGGAAGGAAGTCCTTTAAAGTTTGATCAAAACACACCACCTTATTAAATCACTAAAATTAGGCTAACCGACATTCAACCAATTTGTATGTGAAATAAAGTGAAGTGAAGTGAAAATTGAAACGTTTTAGGCGGGCCCGTTACAATCGAAGATCGGACTGTAACGTTTGACCTTCATGCCACCAGTGCTACCGAACGAGCTCGTTACCATAATGTGCTCTAAAATCAGGAAAGTTCCATTTATGCGAGGCAAAAGTTAAAGATGCATTTTCGAGTAACACCTCGAACAACCAATTTGTACTTTATGTGAAATAATGAATTTCAGAATTTCAATGTATGTTTTTATATACAAATGCCAATAAAATTCTATGACTATGACTAAGGCCCCCCCCCAAAAAAGTCTCCGGTTTCTGGTATGGAGCTTGCCCAAAAAGTAGTGCGGCAACGCGGCTTTTTTGTTTTTTTACCTGTTTTTTTTTTGGCTTCAAATGTCGGCTGATGACTGCAAATGGTGCCCGACTAAACTTAGTGCAAATATTATTGGAGACCAGAGAGGCCACATAAAGCTTATTCTCGATCATAACCCCATCTAAAAACACGTTAAAATTGTGCAGCAGCAGGATTCCAGTCAATCCAGTGAGTTTGGCGGTTTTGAGACATCATCTTCCATTGAAAAAAAACCTTTTTCATTTTGCCGACGCGCATGGCTACGGCGACGCGCGCGCATACCAGAAACCGGAGACTTTTTTTTGGGCCTAACAACAGATTTTTTTCAACTGCTATTTTCCTAGAAACATAGAAATTATTTACTATCGAATGACACGTCCAACGAAAAAAGCCACCGACGTTTTATTATTGAATTATTTCTCCACAATTAGCTGCCAGACAATAATTGGGCTCTCGCATACGCGCAGGGCGGGTTCATTAATGCGCAAAATAAAATTCCTCTTTCAGAAAATGAAGAAGTTTTTCGTCAAAACAAAACAGTGAAATTGAACATTCTTTAAAAGAAACAAAATAAAACATGTTTTAAGGGCATGGGGCATCCATTTTTAAAGTGTTTATCTGTGACAGGAATCACTGATTGAAAAAGTGAACGGCGACAGTTTACATTTTTAGAAAATATTTAAGGTTTTTAATGGAAGTGAAGAATGCGCTCGCATTGCAAGTAAGCGGGGAGATCTAGATATGCCTGAAAACAATCCAGCAATAGGGGAAAAACAGCCATTTGATCAAAGTCAAGGTGGGTAGTGGTATTTATTTCCATGTAGTCTCATGGCGTTTGGAGTTTGTCGTGGTGATTTAAATATCGAGAAAAATTTCGTTCATCGCAAAAAGTATTTCTTTTCTGCGTTGACTTGATCGTTTCCCCCAATTCGTCAAATTTTCAACTTGAAATGATTCAGAATTAATATCAAGATCTAAGACTAGGGATATTGCGTCCGTTCAACCGGGCCCGAGGTGACGTCACCAATGACCGTGAACATCATGGTCATTGACAAGAAGCTGACCTTTGGATGATGAGGCGACAATAAACTGATCAAGTATAGAGAGAAAAGTATATGATGGTGATAATGGTGATGGCAATGGTGTTACTGTAGTGGAGTTTTAAATCATAGGCGATAGCGGACGTCATCACGAAGATGCTGGTGGTGGGCATGTTGATTATGATGGAAACGATGACGCTTATGATCATCACCTTATCAAGTTGCTGATCTCAAACAGATCAATCGAAAACGTAAAACCCAGTAATCATTTCTAGGTAGCTATGCACACACCAAAAGATGTAAAAAGTAAAAAATAAAATATAAAAAATGGGTACTTTCAGTCTATACAATAATATGTAGCATATGTTATATGTAGCGAGTGAGAAATCCATGAGCGGGTTGCTTACAGTTCACTGGCGTCATAAGACACGATCTTTCCTTTTGTTCCGCTGCATCTAGTCCTCACTACACTGTGACAGTTCAAGGTTAGGCAGACCCAAGAATATAGGTTGACAAGACACGATGCTGCTGATGGATTCTCAAAGGATAAGATGAGCGATTTGGGATGAAGGATGGACGAGGGTGGCAAGACAAGTGTGGAATTGTCTGTCAAGTGATGTCATGTAATGACAAGTCATCAGAACCTTAACGAGGCAGAGTTGAAGGCATCGTGAACATCTGTGTATTGGCACAAACCTGTTAATTGAAAAAGTTTTTTTCAGGCGATTTAACTTGGTGCCGAGACCATTATATGCAGAGACTTCGAATCGGCGGATATGGGGTTGATGGGGGGGGGGGGGGGGGGGGGGTGTTTGGGGGTTGCAACCCCGTTCTGATGCAGGACTAATGTTATGATACTATTAAAATAATAAATGGAATGCTAAAGCTCCTAAATTTATTCTCAAATTGCCCTAGAATGCAGGATAAAAGTATCGTGGATTTCAACATTTTCCGGGGGGATGTTCCCGTACCCGCCTAGCATAGTAGGGTGTGTATTCGTCACGCCTTCACTCACCAACACCTTCATATCAGCCCCCGGCTCCCGCTTCCTGAAAGCTAGATCCTCCCCTACTTCGCTAACCTCATACTGTGGCATAAGGGAGGGACTGGTAGTTATTAAGATTAAAAGTTCTAAGTTATCCGAGAAAACGGCGTAGAAAACGGTACAAAAGTTGCAGAAAATACACGAGAGAAAGTGGGACTCCATAAAGCAATAATCTACACTTGGTAATTAAGGGTGAAAAGGAAGGACGAATGTTCATAAACGGCCAGGGCACGGGGAGGCATACATGTAGTCAAGCAAAGAAACAATCGGGCAAGAAAGGGAGCGGAGATAATTATTTCAAAGCAACTGCGAGATACTCCATAATTTTTACCAAATCAAATGGATACCAAGAGACCCATGAACGAGAGCACGACTCCTTTGAATAAGTCATCAAGTACGGACAAGTCGGTCATCTATTTCATAAGAAACTTCTGTCAACACAATCTGGTTTACCCTTCTCAAGCACTCTTCAAATGAGCAACGTCCGTAAAGATAAAACATGAAAGGCCAACACATCTGGACACCTATACCAAACCAAATTGGTTTAAAATATAATAGTAACTAACCATCACATATCTGCAACAGCATCATCGAGGCATCGGATATGATCGTGTGGTCCCGAATTCTCATTCGGGGCCCCTCTGTAGACTCTCCTCAAGCCACTCTTGCTGTTCTCTGGACACACCCTCCACGCACACCCATCACATCGTCAATTCATCCCAGCATTCTGCCGAATACTGGACGGCTTTTGCCGCCATATGGCAGCTCTCCCCAAATTGGGGTTTTATCCAGATATGCAGAAACGATACTTGTTTTTCCCAAGTCCAGTCAGCTTGTTGACTGTGCAGTGTGTAGCCAACGCAAATCTATATATCTCCCCAAATGTTGTTTTGCCAACACGTGTGCGTCATTCGCTGGCTTTGGACAATTTTCAAGCAAACGTGTATTTTGTGCCACGACGTCTTTGGAATATTCAACCAGTACATGGTGGGAAGGCAAACAATAATCAATACGAGGCGATTGTGTGTAATTACGAATAAAAGCATTGCAATTTGCTGTTTGCATTTTCTCTAGCTTGCAATGATCACAGAGGTGCTCCATCTACACGTTGATAAAAGTTATTCAAATTAAGAAGCCTGACACGAGGTCGCTTCGGCGTCGCGTCTATCTCAGGTCGTTTTTCTATGTCGGTTAAATTGCAGGACTGACGTCACGACGGATTCCGAATTAATTAGTATTCCCCACACCTTCCCAAAGGTCGATCATGAAGACCGTGCGCAACAGCCAATGGTACACGGGGAGACGGAGCATTTCTCCCCGGCCAAGCTAGTCTGTTGACATCGGTGCGGGATTTTCTTGCGGTCGTGTGAGTGGCTAAACATAGCTCCTGATTACTTGTG